ATCCTAGAACTTTGGGAGGCTAAGGTAAGAGCCTGAGACCAAGAGTTGGAGACCAGCCTGAGCAACATAGAGAGCAACACAGAGAGTCTCTGTCTCTACAAAAAACAAAATTAGCAGGGCACGGTGGCACACACCTGTGGTCCCAGCTACTTGGGAGGCTGAGGTAGGTGCATTGCTTGAGCCCAGGAGTTTAGGTTGCAGTGAGCTATGATAATGCTACTGCACTCTAGCCCAGGCAACAGAGTCTCTAAAAACAGAGACATTTAGATTTCCTTTCACTGGCTTTCTTGTTTCAACCAACCATACCAGGTAAATAACCCAAAGAATTTTTTCTGGTATATGTCCTACTTAAATAACTTAGGTTTGATATGTTGTAAGTAATGCTTGTTCTCTTTTTTAAAAACATAATATAGAGAACTAGTATTACTTCAATGATCTTAACAGTACCTGAACACTATAAAACATTGTATTTTAAAATAGGTCAATGTTTTTAAAAGAAGTCAAATTTAGTACTTGTAATAGCATTATAAGCACCACAAACATCTTTCTCTTTCTCCAGATGTGAATAGTAGCCAACTTCCCCTTCTGTATTCTCCGTACCCACAAAGACCCGCATGATCCCTTCCAAAAAAACAAACAAAAAAAATTTCTTCCCATCCTCCTGATATAGCAATCACACACTGTCACCAATAAGGGTATCCCTTGGCTGGGTGGGGCAGCTCACACCTATAATCCCAGCACTTTGGGAGGCCGACACAGTAGGCTCACTTGAGGTCAGGAGTTCAAGACCAACCTGGGCAACACAGTGAAACCTTGTCTCCACAAAAAAGAATAAAAAATAGCCAGGCATGGTGGCATGCGCCCATAGTCCCAGCTACTTGGGAGGCTGAGGCAGAAGGATTGTTTGAGCCCAGGAGTTCAAGGCTGCAGTGAGCTACAATCACACTATTGCACTCCAGTCTGGGCAACAGAGCGAGACCCTGTTTCTTAAAAAAACAAAACAACAAAAAAACAGGTATTCTTAAAGTGAACAAAACAGAGCTGAACTAAAGGATGTATAGCATCACAAACAGTTGAGGAAGGAGAATGCTCACGCTGCCCCCATTTCTCTACCAACACTCACATAGCTGCAGTCTTTTGACTTCCAATTTGGGTCTCCTTACCTGGAAACAATGAATTGTTTAATACTAAAGGGAGCCTGCAGCTATATAACATATTTGCTTTCCCTCCCATAGCTAAGGTGTTTAAACTCCAAATCAGAGACAGGAAGTCCTAAATATTAGCACAATCTTACTATCTCTTGGAAATTATCCCCCTTTCCATTTCATTCAAAACACAGTTTCAACACTAAGTAGGAATAAATCACAAAATGAAAAGGAAAAAAACCTATCATACAGTATGTTGTTAGTACGCACATAGAAGCTAGAAATCTAGATTCTAATTAACCGTGCCTCTTTTTAACTTATTGTCTTTTATAAACATAATATTTTTTATTCTAAAAGCAGAAGTTGTCAACAGATTAAGACCAGATCTCTCACATACTTTAACTTTAAAATCAGTAGGAAATTAAGAAGGAAAAAGGGAAGAAGCATTCTAGTAAATGAGAAAAAAATAAAGAATTTTTGGTCAGTATACCTGAAGTTTCCCTTAGTTGTTCACTTTATGTTATGATAAAATGCATAACAACTGTTTTCTAAAAAGAAACTTTAATAGAAATATTTTATTTGAACTCAAATCTAAATTATTAAAGCTACTTTAAAACACAGCTATTATTAATTATACTACAGCAAAGCTTCTTTATCCATTATTCATCAATTCAACCAGTATTTATCACACTTTTTAGTGCAAAATGAAAATAAAGTGCTTTATGAGTATGGGACACATGGTTGCTGCCTACTAAAAACTTTCTTACTAAGAATAAAGTCAAAATAGTTTGATGCCAGTTTAAGTAGTAAAAAAGTATATAGCACACAGATATATTAATCTGTATTAGTAATTGCGTATTTTAAAACCTAGAAAACATGAGAACTAGCATTTAATTTTAGTTCAATTTAAAACCTGTCAGACCTTACTCAGAAAACAGGATCTCCTGTCTTATAATCTTTCAAAGCAAGAACAGGTAAGTTATCTGCAAACATGCAAAGGGAGGAATTATAAACACAGGACTGTCCTAAGAGAAGGCATAAAGTACCAGAAAGGATAAAATAATTTTTCAAGGGGGACGGGGAGAGGAAGATCTCATGTCCCTATGTCAAGGAAAACAAATTTGAGAGGGACTTTTTAGTCTTTACATACCATCTACCATTAATGTTTAGTATCTTCCTATCAAAGAAACGTCAAAATCAAAAGAGGTTAAAAAAAACCTTCAAGGGCCAGGCGCGGTGGCTCACGCCTGTAATCCTAGCACTCCGGAGACCGAGGCGGGCGGATTGTTTGAGCTCAGGAGTTCGAGACCAGCCTGAGCAAGAGTGAGACCCCGTCTCTACTAAAAAAATAGAAAAAAATTAGCTGGA